TGTTCCCACGTGACAAGATGGACGTATCATTCCACTTTGGGGCTGCCATCGAACTGGTGGGAGATTTGGAAAAAAATTGACCAGCTTCCCTGCCAATCCCAGGGCGGTGTTTCTGCTGGAGGGGGGGGGTGTACTGGACATGACAGGTGTGGTTGGTTGTGGTTGTGGGGTTGTGGTTTTGGAGGCTGGTGTGGTGCGGGGAGTGGGGGATGGTGTGCCTTTGTTCTAGATCATCTGATGGCAGTGGCGTGGTGGTCCCCACGCAGCTATGGCCCACTGCTGGTGCCTACCGCCAAGCACACTACCACCACGCACATTTTCCATTCCCAATTGCAACAGTATCTTTGTCAATTTCACTTGTTGTCCTGGTTGATACAGCCACGGGATGTACTACGAGTACACTCCTTCCCCTTGGATTAGCTATGGCCACACTCCAGAGCGCATATATATCGTTGTATATACTGACGCTTCACAGGGGAAATATTGCACTACACTTCACTATGGAAACTAGTTTGAGAGCTTGTAGTTTATTATTCACTATCACTCTCATCACCCATGGTTCTTCATGCGTCTGGGATTTGGGAAAATGGGAAAAAAATAGAGTTTCCTCTTGGGTTCTGGAAACAATGAACGTGAACACGAGAGGGCCAGCACAGAGGTGGAGGCTGGGGTCAGTCTGGGTTTTCTTCACTATACCGATTTTATTTATGGTCATTAGGTTCGGTCAAAAACACTCACCCTAAAACCCACGAAACTATCTTCACTGGCACTTCCCTCAATTTAGAACTGTCACTGGGGAACAAAAGTGTCCCAAATTCGCCGAGGAGTGATGAGCTCTTTACGAGGCATGGTGGGACATTGTTTACTAAGCGGGCATTCCACAATGCACCACTGGGTCCCAGATTTTTTTTTCTACCAGCGCACACACCGACCTCCCACGCAGACCATTATCTCACACATAGGCCTCCAGCCTTTTCGCGCGAGATTTGATGGCGCTAGAATAATTTTATGCGTACTTCTAGTACGTTCACAAACAAAAAAACCCTACGCGGTAAGAGTACTGTTAGTACATACGAACAACCTAAAGGGTTAACTGAACAGGAAAAATGGCTCGGGGTCGCCCATCCCTTAATCAGTTCTTACCCTTGTGTCATATGGCAAGGGTTTTGAAAAAAAAAATTTTTTAAAGAATCAAAAGTAATTTTGTAAGAATCAAATATAAACCAAAAATGCGGTAATTGATGAAATACTTGCCAATTTCTATGGTGTGTTGTGAAGTTGGCGAAAAAAGGGAAAAAAAAGGAAAACCACGGCTGGCAACAATGGTGTAAAATGCACTTAGTGATATATTGTGTTTTACATTTTTTTTTTTCCTCCAAGTGCTGCCAATCTCCCATGAGCAGGGTTGACCAAAAAGAAAAAAATTCCCCAAAAAGAAAATACTTTCTCATCATTCAACACTTTTCATCTCACACATAATAACTGTCTTTGCAGAGGTTGACTCAGAACACAACAGTTTTAGAAAGTATATCAAGATATATAACATACCTCCAAAACAGCCAATATCCCAAAACCCCTCTTCAAAGTGCAGGCATTGTATTCCCTTTCCGTACTCCAGTCTGGCCTATATAATAAATAACGGGTTCCCTGAATTTTTTTGTTTTTTTTTTTTTCAACATGTCGGCCGTCTCTCCACCGCGGCAAGGGGGTGTGACAAAAAGAATGAAAAGAAAATCCCAAAAAGAAAATATTTTCATCATCATTCAACACTTTCACCACACTTGCACCATTATCACTGTTTTTGCAGAGGTGCTCAGAATACAACAGTCTAGAAGCTTACACATATAAAGATACCACAACATATCCTCCAACTGCCAATAATCCAAAACCCTCCTTTAAAGTGCCGGCATTGTACTTTCCATTTTCAGGGGATCAAGTCCGACTATATGAAAATAACCGGTTTCCCTGAATTCCCTGCACTAATATTTACCCTGCTCACACAACAGTCGTCGGTCCCAAGTACCATTCGTCTCATTCACTCCTATCTAACACGCTCTCGCACGCTTGTGGAAGTCCATGCCCCCCTTACCCACATAACCTCTTTACCCTCTCACCAACCCTTTTCGAGTGACGACCTACCCGCCTTCTTCCCATATAGATTTATATGTTTCCATGACACTTCTATTTGATCCCTTCTCTCTATATGACCAAACCACCGCAAAACCCCTCCTCTGCCCTCTGACTAATACTTTTATTAACTCCCACTTCTCTAATTTCCACACTCCGAATTTTCTGCATAATATTTACACCACACATTGCCCTTAAAAACAGGACATCTCCACTGCCTCCACCGTCTCTCGCTGCTGCATTTACCCCAAGCTTCACACCCATATAAGAGTGTTGGTACTATCTACTTTCATTTACATACCCTTCTATTGCTCCATAGACTACGTTTTTTGATCCACATATACCTCAACGACACTCACCTTTTTTTCCCTCATTCAATTCATGATTAACCTCATCCTTCATAACTCCATCCGCCACCGACACGTAACTCCCAAGTATCTGAAACATTTCACTTCTTCCATTACACCCCTCCCTAAATTTGATATCAAATTTTTTTATCCAATTCATTTGACACCCTCATCACCTTTACTCTTTTATAGTTCACTTTCAACTTTCCTACCTTTAACCCACATTCCCAAACTCATCCACTAACTTTTGGCAATTTTTCTTTAGAATCTCCCTTAAGCACAGTATCATCAGCAAAAAAAGTAACTGTGTCCAATTCCCATTTTGAATTTGATTCCCCATAATTTAATCCCACCCCTCTCCCAAACACCCTAGCATTACTTCCTTTACAACCCCATCTATAAAATATATTAAAACAACATGGTGACATTACACATCCTGTCTAAGACCTACTTTTACCGGGAAGTAGTCTCCCTCTCTTCTACACACCCTAACTGAGCCTTCACTATCATCCTAAAAAACTCTTTAAAGCATTTAATAATTACCACCTATTCCATATACTTGCACCATCTGCCCATTGCTCCTTTATCCACTCTATATTGCCTTTTCTAAATCATTAAATGCAATAAAAAAACTACCCTATCTTTATCTAAATACTGTTCACATATATGTTCAATTGTAAACACCTGATCTACCCATCCCCTACCCACTCTAAAAACCTCCTTGCTCATCCGCATCCTACAATGTCTTAACCTCTAATTCTTTAATTATAACCCTACCGTAACTTTCTTCTGGTATACTCAGTAAGCTTATGCCTCTATAATTTTTACAGTTCTCTTGTCCCCTTTCTTTATTCATGGGGGACTATACCTGCTCACTGCCATCTCCCTAGGTACCCCTTCCCCCTCTTTCATACATTTATTAAACAAAAGTACCAACACTCATCACTACTATTATCCCCCCTGCTTTTAAAATTTCTGTCATGATCCATCAGTTACAGCTGCTTTACACCCTTTCATTTTACGTAATGCCTCACGTACCTCCCCCACACTTAATTCTGCTCTTCTTTCACTCCTAAGATGGTATACCCCTGACGTGCATGAAAATACTTGCCTCTGTTTCTTCTTAACATTTAAAAGTTCCTCAAAATATTCTCGCCATCTACCCAATACTCACTCCCATTACTAAACTTCCCTACTCTGTTTTTTTTTTTAACTGACAAAGCCAATTTTTCCCTAGGCTTTTTAACTTGTTTAAACTCACTCCAAAATTTTTTCTTATTTTCATTAAAATTTTTTGAACAGTGCCCTTCCCACTTATCATCTGCTCTCCTTTTGCACTCTCTACAATCTCTTTATATATATTATTTATATATAACATATATATATAAGATTGTGTTCATATATTTGGGAGTTGAATTGTCAGCAGCTGGATTTTATGAAGGATGTAGCTTAACAGAATTGATGAAGGAAAAGGTGAGTGGTGCATTGAGGTATCTGTGGAAAAAATTATCATCATGGAGGCAAAGAAAGGGAGTGTGTACTAGAGTATAGTTTTGGTACACCTCTTAGTGGGTGTGAAGCATGGGTCTATAAAATGCTGCATCAAGGAGGAGGTTGTAGGCCAATAGAGATGCATACTAATGGGTGTGTGGTTGGTTGGTGTAAAAATGCAGAGATTTGTAGTGTAGAAATTACGAGGCATGGAGTTATTAAAAGTATTAGTCAGAGGGCTGAAGATGGGTTGTTGAGGTGGTAGGGAAAGGAAGGCAGGATAGGGGTCATCCTTGAAAAGTTCGTTTGAGGGAGGAGAGGAGGTAAAGGAGGTTTTTGTGGGCAGGGGCTTTAGACTTCCAGCAAAAAGCGTGCTTGAGCTGTTGTATAGGAGTGAGTGAATGGAGACAAATGTTTTTGGGGACCCTGACGAGCTGGTTGGTTGTGTTGAACAGGTGATATTTTATGAAGGGATTCGGGGAGACCGGGTAGCCGCAATCGAGTCCTGGAGGTGGGAAGTAGACTGCCTGCGCTTTAAAGGAGGGCTTTGGGATATTTGCTGTTTAGAGCGACATCTAAACTGTTCCCTCATGCCTCTGACAAGACAGTGATAGTATGAATAGTGAAAATTTCTTTTTCAGGTCACCCTGCCTTGGTTGAGAAAGATTGCCAGCTGTTTGGAAAAAAATTGTCAGTTAAGAGGTTAATGTGTAGTATCCTGTATTAATCATTACCCCTACCATTAGCCTATTTCCTATTTATTTCAAGAAGGCATTTAGCATTTACTGGGAAGATAAAATGAACCCCCAGGTCAATTTCCTCCATTGTATGTGAAGTGAAGCTGTTAGTTTAACTTGTTACTGGATACTGTGCTAGGGTTACCAGATTACTATGCTAACATGTGTGTGTGTAGTTTATATATATCTCACTCTGACCTGCTAGTTTTATGACTTGTTTCCATGGGTTCAAATCCTATCCACTCTGTGAGTTATAAATTTCCAGTTTTTATACTTTGTAATTGTTAAAACATTTCAGGGTTGACTCAGTATGTGCCTGCACTGCAAGAGATGACGATAACTCGCCTTGTGAAGCAAGTGGCACAGCTGTATCAGTCTATCACTTTCAAACGACTGTTGGAACTTAGTGTCTTTGTTGGTGGCTTTCACTTGGATGTATACTGGATTGATTTGGTTGCCCTAAATGAACATGCATGTATGAGTTTGTCATTAGTGACATTGCAATTGTAGCTGATTTGTGAAGATGTTCCAAAGGCTTTGTTTTAATTTACGCATGCAGTATAAATATATTTTATTAATTTTACCCCACCATCGGCCATATTCCCACCAAGGTAGGGATGGCTAAAAAAACGAAAAAAATTTTAACCATTCCAAGCGGACCTAAACCAAATCTTCTAAATGGGCCACTCAGGAACAATCATTATGAGTTCAAATCGAAAAGAGAAATTTCAACTACTCAGATATGGAAGAAAAACTTGAGGAAATTAAAACGGTATCAAGGTAACAACAATTCTAACCATACAATAGAAGTGAAAAAAGTATTGAGTAAAGGAATTGGGAGTGATAATGTCTGAGGTTCTCGCTTCAAAGACCACAACAATGTATCTATGCATTCTGCTAGTGAGGAAATGATGGATGAGATAATGAGAATCTTCAAAACTATGGATGCAAGCCCATAATGATTTCTTCAATCACTTGTTTCTCTTAGGCTGGCGTACTGCTGTACACTAATGCCTCTTTAAGACAGGCGAAATTCCTGACTGGGAGAGTGTACAAAACTTTCATGGTCCACAAAGTACGATAAGGCACCTAAATTACTGGGAAACAGTTGAAGTCCTTCGAATTTGTATACACAACACACACACAACACACACAAACACACACCCACCCCCACCAAACCACACCCACACCCCCTCCCAACCCCACTCCCCCCACCACACCCCCCACCCCACCCCCCCCCCCCACACCAACCCCCCCCCCCCCCCCCACCACCACACCCCCCCACCCCCCCCCCCCCCCACCCCCCACCCCCACCCCCCCCACCCCCACCCCCCACCCCCCCCCCCCCCACCCCCAACCACCCCCCCCCCCCCCCCCCCCCCCCCCCCCCCCCCCACCCCCCCCCCCCACCCCCCCACCCCCCACCCACCCCCCCCCCCCCCCCCCACCCCCCCCCCCCCCCCCCCCACCCACCACCCACCACCCCCCCCCCCACCCCCCCACCACTCGCCCCCCCCCCCCCCCCCCCCCCCCCCCCACCCCCCCCCCCCCCACCCCCCCCACCCCCCCACCCCACCCCACCCCCCCCCCCCCCCCCACACCCCACCCCCCCCCCCCCCCACCCCCCCCCCCCCCCCCCCACCCCCCCCACCCCCCCCCCCCCCCCCCCCCCCCCCCCCCCCCCCCCCCACCCCCACCACCCCCCCCCCCCCCCCCCCCCCCCCCCCCCCCCCCCCCCCCCCCCCCCCCACCCCCCCCCCCCCCCCCCCCCCCCCCCCCCCCCCCCCCCCCCCCCCCCCCCCCCCCCCCCACCCCCCCCCCCCCCCCCCCACCCACCCACCCCCCCACCCCACCCACCCCCCCACCCCCCCCCACACCCCCCCCCCCCCCCCCCCACACCCACACCACACCCACCACCCCCCACCCCCCCCCCCCCCCACCACAACCACACCCCCCCCCCCCCCCCCCCCCCCCCCCCCCCCCCCCCCCCCCCCACCCCCCCACACCCCCCCCCCCCCCCCCCCCACCCCCACCCCACCCACCCCCCACCCCCAACACCCCCCCCCACCCCCCCCCCCCCCCAACACCCCCCCCCACCACAACCCCCACCCCCCCCACCCCCCCACACCCGCACCCAACCCCCCCCCTCCACCACCCTCCACACAACAACACACCCCCCAAAACCACACACCACAAACCACCTCACCCCCCCCATCCCCACACACATCACACACACACTCACACACACACATCACACCACACACAAATCACAACACATCACACACACAACACCCCCCCCTTCACACCCATCCCAACACACACCAACACCACACCCCACCCCACACCCCCCACCCCCCACACCAACCCACCCCCACCCCACCCCCACCCCCCACCACACCACAACACACCACCACACCCCCCCCCCCACCCCACACACACCACAACACCACCCACACACACCACACACACCACACACACACCACCACCCACACACACCACCCCACCACCCACACACCCACACACACACCCCCACCCCCCACCCCCCACCACACCCCCCCACCCCCCCCACACCACCACACACCCAACACACACACCACCACACACACCACCCACCACACACACCACACACACACACCCCACACTCAACCAACCCACACACACCACACACACAATACACACACACCACACACACACCACACACACACAACCCCACTCACACACACCACCCACCACCCCCCACACACTCACCCCACCAAAACCCCACCCCCACCCCCCACACCACCCACACACACCCACCCCACCCACACACCCCACTCATACACCCACACACACACCCACCAACACCCCACCCAAACCCACAACACACCCCAACACACACACCCCCACACACACCCACACACCAAACCCCAACTCCCCCACAACACCCACACACACACCCCACACAACACCCACACACACACCCCACACACACAAACCCACACACACCACCCACACACACACCACCCATCCCCCACCACACAAACACACCCACACACATCCCACTGCACCCCACCCACACCCCACAAACACCCCACACACACACCCCACACACACACCCCACACACACACCCCACATACACACCCACATTACACACACACACACACACACACACACACTCACACACACACATCACAACAGGTGCGACAAAGACAGGATGTTCCAGAGATTGGAAACAGTAGTATAACCAAGGGGACCACTGTTGGAAGTGAAGACAACGATGAAAATCACAGGGATGTTAGGAAGTATTTTGCAGAACAGAGTAGTCAGTAAGTTGGAATAGTATGGGTAGGATTGTGTGGAGGCAGAGGACAAAATCCATCATAGCTTTAAGCAGAGGTATGATATAGCTCACGGCTCAGGGGAGTGACCTCGTAGCGATTCAGTAAGAGGGGGGCCAGGAGCTCGGACTCGACCCCCGCAACCTTAACTAGGTGATGTAGTACACACACACACACACATGTATAAACGTTATACATACATACGACGAACGAGTCAAAGGGTTAGTAACTTTCGTCAGCAATTTAGAGTGCCACCTTTGCACTGTTTTAAGAAGTTTCATATACTCCAGCATTACGAAAACATTGCTGGGACGATAAATATTTTGTATATATTTCTAGGACAGTAGTTGTTCACATGTCAATGGTGTTTGTGCTGTTTCATTTACTATAATATATAATTAATATTTTCATAACAACGATAGGCTATTTGTGGGTCACAGAATCTGCTGTGAATTGTAATTATTCGAACTTAAATAAACTACATATTCACATGAAGGGAGAAAGTATGGAAGATAGAAAGAAGTGAAAATTTTCCGATATTTGGGAGGTTGACTTGATCAGAGATGGTTTATGGAGGATGAGGTTAAGCAGAGGAATTTTGATTGATGGTTAAAGAGGTGCGTGGTGCATTGAGGTACTGTGGGACCAAAAACAAAAAAAGTAACCCCCATATACTTTTTTTTTATTACCCGACCAGGTGCTTTATACCTACCCTTTTTTTAACTTTTTTTACACCCCTCTTACCATTATACCCGCCACCCCCCCACGACCCGTTTACCGGTTGGAGGCAAAAGAAGGGAATGTCGAGGAGTATAGTGGTACCAACACTCTGATTGTGGTGTGAAGCATGGGTTTGTAATTGCTGCAGCGAAGAGGCCAGGCTCTGTAGACAGTGGAGATGTCTGTCTAAGCGGCAATGTGTGTTAATTATTATGCAGGAGAGATTTAGTAGTGTGGAAATTAGGAGGGTGTGGAGTTATTAAAAGTATTAGTCAGGGTGAAGAGGGGTGTTGGAGGGGTAGTATGGTGATTGAGGAGAATGGAAACAAGGTAGAATGACTTGGAGGGTGTGTGTAATCTGTAAGGAAAGGAAGGAGGGGTTAGGGGGCATTTGAAAAAGTTGGAGGGAGGGGGTTGAGTTGGGTAAAGGAGGTTTTGTGGATGAGGAGGCTTGGACTTGCGCCACAAAAGTTCCTGAGTGTGTCAGGAATGAATGGAGACAAATGGTTTTCGGGACTGATGAGCTGTTGCAGTTGGTTGTGAGCAGGGTAATATTTGCGAAGGGGATTCAGGGAAACTGGGTTTAGTGGGACTTGAGTCCTGGAAAAATGGGTGTTACAATTGATGCATTTTAACCCTTACAGGTCCAAGGCCCAAATTGGAGGTCCTGCACCAGTCAGCACAGTCGTCCAAGAATTTAAAAAAAAAAAAATTTATTTTTTTTCTTTGAAATCGTAGAGATAGAGAATCTTTTTGTGAAGTATTAAAACAAAGTAGAAATTTGGTTTGGAAAATTGACGAAAATTCTGCTCTTGCGAATTATGATGTGTCAGTGATATTTACGAAATCTGCGATTTTGGCTGACTTTGATCATTTTAGGCCCAATTACATTATTCCAATACCAACCAAATTTTTAGCTATTTCACTAGTTATTACTTTATTCTATCGATTGAGCACAAGAACAAGAAATGCCAAGTAACTGTTTCAACTACAAATTCACGTGATCGGAAAATTGTAAATTTGGCCCAATTTAACACAAAGTTCAAAATTTTCCAATTATTTCAAAATATGGTCCGAATTAAAACAATGTAGGCATTCCTGGCACTTTAACTAACTTTCCTTGTGCATTAGTTATGTTTATGAGCTTTACAAATAAATTCCATTTTGATTTTTTATTTCACATAATTGAATTTTTTTTATTACACAAACAATAGAAGATTTACTGTTTTTATGCACTACTGTAATAATTGTAATAAATATCATCCCATATTTGTTTGAATGATATATTAGCCCCCAGTGACGTGTATTTGGACGTTGTGGAGGTCGTTTGTTTACTCTTGAATATCGGCAAAAATTTAAAAATTTTCCGCTACTTGAGCTCAGTTTGAGCCATTTCCAGTGCTAAAAACCAATCAAAATCATCTCTAT